TTCACTGTACGTTGCATTATATATAACCATGTAAGTAGTACGTTCACTACGTTGCATTATAACCATGTAAGTAGTACGTTCACTACGTTGCATTATAACCATGTAAGTAGTACGTTCACTGTACGTTGCATAATAACCATGTAAGTAGTACGTTCACTGTACGTTGCATTATATATAACCATGTAAGTAGTACGTTCACTACGTTGCATTATAACCATGTAAGTAGTACGTTCACTACGTTGCATTATAACCATGTAAGTAGTACGTTCACTGTACGTTGCATAATAACCATGTAAGTAGTACGTTCACTGTACGTTGCATTATATATAACCATGTAAGTAGTACGTTCACTACGTTGCATTATAACCATGTAAGTAGTACGTTCACTACGTTGCATTATAACCATGTAAGTAGTACGTTCACTGTACGTTGCATAATAACCATGTAAGTAGTACGTTCACTGTACGTTGCATTATATATAACCATGTAAGTAGTACGTTCACTACGTTGCATTATAACCATGTAAGTAGTACGTTCACTACGTTGCATTATAACCATGTAAGTAGTACGTTCACTGTACGTTGCATAATAACCATGTAAGTAGTACGTTCACTGTACGTTGCATTATATATAACCATGTAAGTAGTACGTTCACTACGTTGCATTATAACCATGTAAGTAGTACGTTCACTACGTTGTAGTAAGTAGTACGTTTACTACGTTGCATAATAACCATGTAAATAGTACGTTCACTACATCCATTCTTAGGTGAATTTTTTTATGGTTGACATGAAAACTACCAGACAACTCCTTCTGAGAAAAAATGAACGGCTATGGCTAACTGCTAAAGTTAAACTAACGTGTTCATTTATAACTACAGTCTAAAAATTTAAGCAACTGACGTTTTAAGATAAACGGTTAACTTCAAATGCACGTGACAACGGGACAAGAACAGCTTTTCCCTTGGGCATCAGGTAAACCAGTTGGCATTTGTACGGTTTTGTGATTCGTGCACGAACTATCAGGCACACTAGGTGAACACAAAGCATGACATGAAATTACGCCGCCATTTTGACAAAAGCATTGAGAAGTACAGTTGTTGTCAGAGAAAACCGCGCCAATATTAAAAATCTTTCCACTTGGTGTTGTACATGAGTGCTTGGGAAGAACTGGTTGTTTTGTTGATACTAGAAAAATAAAAAAATGTAAACCATTCAAACTATAAGATTTATTCTATATATTATAAACATTGCTCATATGATTTCTTCTTGAATTTGATTATAAATCGCAGGGCTATTACCAGCTGAAGATTTCATATGCTAAGGATGTAGGCAGGGAGGTAGGTTAGTCGGTTAGAGTCTATAGAGTCTGCCAAAACAACACCCATATGCCTATCATTTTCAAAACGACACAGTCAGTCCTTTTAAAATTTTGCTGACAATGTTTGAATAACTGTCAAAACGAACAGCTTGTTTCCGACTGATATCGACAGGCTTGAACAGAGATGGCTTCACCCTCGAAACAAAGTTTTCAAGACCCTTTCAACAATGTTGTTACAGCACTGTTACAACTTGTTCTGAGGGTGCAGCGCTACCTTGTTCAAGCCTGTCGATATCAACCGGAAACAGGTTGTAGCTCCATGCATCATGCATATATGGTAATTGGTTATTAAATAAAATGTGATACCTTGTATGCTTGGATTAACAACGTGGCCAACAACAGATATCGTTTGACTGTTCTTTACACATTTCAAAGCTGGACATGTGCAGGTAGTATTGATAACCTTTTTTTGCACTTGAACTGCTTGCTCGTCTAGTTTACAAGTAATTCCTTTAGATGAGCAGAGCGGGACACAGAATATGTTTCCTCCAGGGTGACATGTGCATTTGTTTGAACAATCAGAAGACACAAAACTATCACCTGACGTGTGCGTATGACCATTCACAACACATTTGTCTGTACAAAATGAAAAGCAAATTTAAGCAATAAACTTACATGTAAAATTTAGACGTTAGTTTAAATGGCTCTAAACACGACTACAATGTACGCCTTTTCGGAGTTGGCATCATGCCAAGATGGCGTTGTGAACCTCGAAAAGGCGTATATATAGTGATTTTCATGTTACATGCAAGTCATGCATGAGCATTGTTTTCTATTGTCTGCAGAATACAGTAGATGTTAGCTGCCAAAAAATAGACCTTAAACCTACAAAAAGGTATACACATGCACCTATGGGCAAATAGGAATCAAGATTAGACGTTTAATAACCCTTTTAGGACGTTTTTCAGAGACTCAATTAATGTAGTATGGGTCTTGAACTGTTTGACGTTTAATAATTCTAGCTTTCAAGAGCTATGCATGTATCTGTAATGTATAATATAATATAGAGTATGTTGTCAAGTCATTGATGATCTAATAGAGAGGTTCATATATTACATCCACTACCGCTACCTTACCATGCATTAACCAATGAAATGCGTATTATTAAAGTGTCCGCTGATGAGACGGAGGTAGTGGAAGTCAAATCTGAACCTCTCTAAATCCAGTATGGTTAACCGATACCCGATTTATAGATATATTGACATGATTAATCTCTGTTATAATCAGCCTTATATTGAAGAAAATACCGATGGCGGAACAAATTAAGTAAGCAAAAGATTCACTAAATCTTACAAATAGTATACATGCTGTAAATTTAGGACTTATACAGTGTTCATCTCGCCAATCATCATGAACTTACCGTTATATGGTTTTGGTTTGCAAGCCTTTGCTGTACATTGACACTTGTTGTACAGTGTTGGTACTAACACATTCTTTTTAGTGTGATGTACCATACAACTAGATTTGTCATTTGGACACAAAGAAACACATTTTACTTGACCATTATTTTGACAACGACATCTTTTATTGCAATTTGTGACGAACTCATCTCCTGGTTGATACAGCTTACTCCCATTAGAACAACTCGTGCTGGAAGCGGTGGCTAATTCAAAAAACGAAAAAATTAATTGAATCAACTAATTATATATATATATATATATATATATATATATATATATATATATATATATATATATATATATATATATATATATATATATATATATATATATATATATAAATGATTAGACAGTAAGGAAATAATCAACTGAATTAAGTTTGACAGAAATCATGAACTTTACGTTGAACGGGGCCATTTTGTGCCTTGGTGGGAAATTTCGAAACACATCGGCTGTCATCTGCGACGATCACCGATGATCGCGATCGGCGACCATCGGCGATAAGCGTCGCCGATCGTCGGTGACAGTTTGCGATGAATGAGAACTAGGTTTAAGGGTAATTGATGGCAGCATGGTAATTGATATGGTAATTCATGATTATACAACAACATACCTGACCCTTGTATTGGTACACACTCGTATTTTGGACAGTAACAAATTTGGTTATTACTTCTGATAGGTTTGCTGACAATTTGTTGTATGAAACCAACAGGACACTTTAGGATTGCTTTAGGGCAAAGTGGAATACATGCAAGATATGCATCATGAGTACACACACATTTAGATTTACAATCAGCGGTTATAAATGTTGTGTTCACTCTGTAGTTCCTGTTGTCACCAGTAATACAACATAAGGATGGAAGGTTGGCGTCTAAAATAAAGATATGGAAAAAGTCATAAATATGGAAATCAGTTGATTGAAGCACTTCTGCATGCAGTTCTCGTATATTCCGTCCCAACTGTGAAGTGAAAGTTGTGGCGTCTGGCGTGGACATAAGTGCACACAGGGTCGATCCTTTGCGGAAGGGGAGGGGGCACTTGAAAGTTTACGAAATTTGTAAGGAGAATTGTAGTAAAATATTCTCTGATATATTTGCCCAAATTTTGTTGCAGTTGTCATGTCTTGTACACTTATATGGACATGAAGTTATAAAGACTCTTGGCCAACCCTAGGTCATACACTACAACTACAGGAGTACTAATTTCCGTAACCGCCTCATTAACCGCCTCACATCACCTCAAACATGTCACATCACCCTTTCGACACACTTCCTCTACTCTTGCTCCACTCTTCTTCCACTCTAAAAATCGTGACTGACCTCTATATAATACCACTTCTTATATAAACCGTACCTGACTGGCCTGAAGACAAATCCAAACTCACAAAGGTAATAACGAATAAAATGCTTCCAATAATCATCTTAGTTGAGCTGCAAGGAAAAGTAAAAATACCAAATATTAATGTGTCCTTCTTGGTTATTTCGCCAGTACAGTTTAGCACTAGTTTCAACTGAGCCATTCACGTCTGTATATTGTAATTTGTGACTGGTTGAATGAGTTTTTAACATTCTTGGATCTAAGCTTTCGAAAGCTCGAAAGGAAATAATTGCAGCTATAAGGAGGATTAATTTTAGTGCTGGCATTTTCATTATGAAAATTAATTTACCAATTCTCATTAATAGTTTGAATGAAAATATTTGATCTGAATTAGAACTCAAATTTCAATCGGACAAACTGAATAACTATAATGTAGTTACCAAAATAACCATGAAATTTTCAAGGACAACAGAGGTCATGCAACGTAGAGACACGAGTCATAAAAATATCAATACGTACGTAATTCTTATATAAAGAAGAAACGTAAGTCCGTCCTCCGTCGAACCGTTATGCACCATTTCAAGTCAGAAAACAATAGATTCAAAATATATACTACCATTCACACTAATATATGCATGTATATGATATATATGCATACACAGTTACTGTGATGCATCTATAAGGTAGGCCTACTTCAGTCTAGTGTTAATTTGGAAATGAGTGATTTGACTTAATTAATTATTAAGTGGGATAATAGGATTAAACACACGAACGTCGAAGACCTAATTCGTTGGGTTTTCGACCGTCCACATGTGATGTATCCGCGAAAACGATACGAATATGCGCTAAATTAATTTACAAAGCATGCGCCATCGAATGTAATGAGCCTAGGAGCAAGTTTGCATGTGAAGCGACGCGAGCAAAACCTGGCAATCCGCTAATGAGTGACTACCTCGAAAATACCTAATTTTGTCGCTAATCATAAACAAAGACAAAAAACTTGCCAAAGTCTATAATCCTTGGTGTGAGTGTATACAAACAAGAAACATGTTGAAACATCTAGAGAAAAATATCAAGAGCGAGCCCTTTCAATTGTATGTTATTAGCGTGGGTGCATGAATGGTCTCAAATATCATCAATTTACGTCATCGTTCTGGTTACACTGCCGTTCGTTGTGTTTTCAGGAGTTCCACTCTGGAAACCGTTTTTAACGAATCCGGATTGTCTTTGTACTCACATAATTCAAGTCCTGCCAAGTAGCCTTTTTTGGCCTGAAACTCTAGTTCGAAAATTCAAGAAGACCTTCGGCTGTGCGCAAGTTACGAAATAGGAAAAGAGGACAAGAAAGACGCATAAACTGTTGGTAATATAATTCATGAGAACAGATATTACCTATACATGTTAATAAAAATCGTGGATAGTTTACATATAGCTATATGCTTTTTCTACTATGAAAAACCGTCAATGTTGAAAAGATATAGACAAATACAGTTTGCATTGTTCATAGCACAACAAGAAAAACAATTTACAACACAACAATATCTTAATCTTATATCCAAGATATAATCGGCAACTTATACATATTAGAAAATAAATAAAAAACACAATAGTTACCTGGTGTACAACGACCAATTCCGATACTGAAGTCAGGTTGATCACTTTACTTCTGAAGTCTGAATACAATACAAAACTACTTCACAGCAAATCACTGCGGCCTCTATTTATATTCCTATAGCATGTTGATATTTTAATGCAATGCGGATTAATGATGATGTGATGCGTCATTACATTTGATTGGGCTTGGCTTGGTTCCGCGGCGAATATTCCACGCACTTGAGTGATTTAAATATTAGTTTGGTCGGATTAAAATGCCGAAAAGGAAGGAAAAGCCGAGCATCTTCGCAGAAATGAAGCGATTAACTAAGCGAAACTTTACCAGCACTCCTATAGTGGCCAAGTCACTGATGTAATATTTGATTGATGTCACTGATGTAATATATAGCAGAGATTTGCCAGTTTTTACTTCACGTCCGTGAAACGTCAGACGCGCGTACGTAGTTTTCCTAAACATTTGCAGCTCCTTCTTTCTTCTGTGAAGTACACATAATCCTATTTTTTGCGTTTTTCATTGATCGAGTTGATCTCCGTGTCGTACGTTCGTACTTGTTAGCTGTTTACTAGACAAATGTCTTACAGGGGCCGCGGAACCGGGGGGGCAATGGGGGCATGTGCCCCCCCACTTTTCTTAAAAGTGAAAAAAGTGCCCTTTTTTCTGGGCTAAAATGCCCCATTTAAAAAACGAAAAAAGTATTTCTTGAATAAACGCCCTCTTTTTCTGGAAAGAAAATGCCCTTTGCGCAGTAGTAAAGACTCTGTAAAGGCCATTTCCGACGTTAGAGAGACTCCATATTTTCAAAAATTTTCGTTCGGCTCGTGAACGTCATAAAATCGTTTGATTCTGGTCATATACAAAAGTGCTTCTTTCGGTCAATGCCCCTCCACTTTCGCGGCCTCTGATGTCTTATATTGCATGTTTAACGTTTCCCTTAGATTGCAGGTTCCCCCTCATCTTACCCTTTTCTTACCGATCCATTTATTGGAAAAGATGTAGCATTTGGTGAAAGTCTCATTGCAGATTTGCAGTACATGGCTATCTTATAATGTATACCGTTACAGAATAAAGCCGAAGGAGCTGCAAATCATGATAAAGCAGTAACTATATATTGAAAAACTCTGGAGAAACAACAAAAGCGACAAGTTAAACAATTTTTTAAAAAGCAGGAAAACAGAAGAAATCAAGTAAAAATGTCTATCAAACTGTGGTAAAACAGGGGGCAATATTAGAGGACATGCAGCCGGTATGTTATAAAATGACATAAAGTGGTTGACCGTATGACTTATAATTGTTGGTAAAAAGAGTCAGTAAAACTGTCTGTTAAAAGAGACAGTAAACTGTTACTTTTTGCCGTCATGTACTTGTAAATAGTAATAAACTGAAGAAATAAATGACAAGAAACATAATATATGCATCTGTTTCATTCGAAGATATTTTATATGCTGTATAGTTTTTAATTCTATCTGTCACTCAGTGCAACTTCTCATGTTCTTCTCTGAATATTGGTAGTATTGCTTCGTCAATTTCCCAAACGCTTTTTTCCTCAAAGACTGTTGTAAGTCACCACCGCGTCTCGTGATTACAAACAAAAATAATTAACATAAAATATATGATCATTCATGATGACATCATGGGTGGTGCTTGGGTTGCGTGTTGTGATACTTGAGAACTGTCCTAAATAGTTGAGTCAGCATTATGACGCATGCTTTGTGGTAATTGTGGTGTCTATGGTCACAGGAGGTCATTACGTAGGAAATGCTCAAGGGTTGCTATACTTTAGTATTAGTGACACAAAATTGTAGAAATACACAAAATAGGCGGAAGACACAAAACTATGTCATTTTTCGTCATTTTTTTAATTTAATTAAACCATATTTTAAGCTCAACATTTGCCCTAAGAGCAAATTGCTCATCAAAGAGAACTTACGTTGTTTACATTATTTTTAAGGGACTGGTCATTATTTATTATACAGAGGGGGCCTGAGAAGAGGGGAGGGGGCTTTTAAAAAAATTGACTGTGGAAGGGGGCACTTCAAAATGGCAAACAGGAAAAAGGAGGGGGACTGTGAAAATAGGTTTATGTTAATTAACAGTAATATACAATAATGCCGAGATCACGTTTGCAGGAAAAAGTGATAGCACATCAACGTGAAAATCTTAACAAATTAGTTTTCACGGTTTTATTTAATTTGTTTAAGAGGGTCCTGAAGGATGGGGTCGTATTCCCATTTCCCAGCCCAAATTTTGACTAAATCCCATTGTCCCAGAGCACAAATCCCATCATCTCTGTGGCTGTCCTGCTCAAATCTTAATCCCATTTTCTATTGTTTTTTTTTGCTGATGAATCCCAGTCCCAGTGCATGAAATCCCATTTTCCGACCCAAAAATAAGCAAATCCCAGTTCCCTTTTTACCCCTTCACGCTTCAGGACTCTCTTTTAAGCTTTATTGTAAATTTTTAGTATATGACATCTCCATGAAAGGTTAAACGAAAAAGTTAAACCAAAGTTAAACCTATAGACGCTCATAAGTAAGAACTTCCTCAATTACTTTGTTCAGTGTCAATGAGAAGAGGTATCCGAATAAATTGGATAATCAGGCCTGTCTCTCTTTACTGTAAAAAGCATTGATTTAGTCTTGGTCTCATTCATTTCTCAGTATTAACCATTGGTTAGCCCAAGATGAAATTGCCGCTAAATCTTTATTCAGCGTATAAGAACACAAATTGGTATAAGAGCACAAATTTATTCTAATAATAAAGAACCAAAGAGTCATCAGCAAATAAAAGCAATCGGAATATATATCATTTATATAAATAGCAAAGAATAGTGGTCTAAGCTCTAACGAGGAACACTCGCTTCAATATTACACCATTCAGAATGGACGCCTTCGATATAACTACTCTTTGTTTACGATTTGAAAGATATAGTTAATTACGAACCAATTTTAATACAAATTACCTTCAATTCCCAAACTTTTAAGTTTGGCAAGTAAACCGCGATGCCATACTTCTCTGATCTCGTGATCCCTCTCGAATGCTTCATAAATCTTATGAATAATACTAATTGCAAAACTGTTGAATCACCATGCACTGGCATGCAGGTCGAGATCCCGATTGAAATTACTTAGTATAGGTAATCGCATGGGACCGAGTAAAATTAGGGTTTAATTTCACGTGTGTTTTCAAAGTTTCACAAACGAGGAACTATACGATTACTTGTTAATCATAGAGGGCAAAATTTATTCGTTTAAACTTGTCAAGTTCTTGAACCTCCTATGTCTTCCAAGTCTTCGCCGATGTTCTTAATGCTGCCCATTTCTGAAATACTCCAACCCATAAATTTGTACTTTTTCCAGTGTTCGAGTTTTCACTAGAAGTCTTTAATTCTTCAATAAGACAATAGGGAGTTTAAGCTTCGCCGCCTTCGCGTTCAAACGTCAAATAGTAAACGCCAGGAGAACAGAAAATTTACGCTACAAGATAATAAATGGCCGGGAAATGGCAACTTGCTATTTGGTAATTCCGCAGTTTTGCATTGCGCACTTTGACTGCGCACATCTTATAACTTATAATTTCATCCATTATACGTACCATTTAAAAAAATCATTTTATGATAATGTTATGTTACTTCAAAACATCTTTTACATTCGTGCAAAGAATTACATTAAAATCAATGTTTTCAAAAAAGGCATACAAAAGTGTACCTAGGGTTCCCTGTGTCTGTAGTATATTTATTCACTTGTATTTCACGTTTTAATGCCATAATTCCCTAAAAAGATCGGTGACCCCGTTTTTTTAACTGATAATTGATTTCTTTAATGCATTTTACATTTCATATCCGATAAAAAAATGCCTTATCAATGCATGTTCTCAAATAAAGATATGTAAAGAAATGTGGAAAAGACATTTGTGGATTAGAATTGTACACGTTTGTAGTTTCATTTTGCTCAAAACACAATATTTTTTCCAAAATAATTACAAGATAGATTTACTAAAGCAAAATCCGCGCTAAAAACGTTAATAAATATCGGGCTGTTGTGATTTTGCTGTTACTCGTAATGAGCGTCAAGATGGCGCCATATTGGGGGTAAAGGTGGTATATTGTAATTCTCATATCTTCTTAACGAGTCGGTGACCCCGACTTTTTTGTGTGATTTTACTTAAGTATATCATAAACTCCATGCCTGGGAAGTTTCAGCACATTCTCATTTTGGGAACAATTACTGCGGAATTACCTTAAGACTGTAATGCATGATGATTCTCTTGAGATAAGAAGGAGACTATGAAGCGAAGAGGTTAAGCAAAAAATTCTGCAAAATTTATGCCGTTTGCCGCTCCCGCAAACGTGAAGCTTACTAGAGAGTTTAAGCTTTGCGTTATACGTCAAACGGCAAACGCCAGGCAAAGAAAAAGTTTACGGTATCAGACAATAAAGAGTAAATAAACTTGCTGTTTTAAAACTGAAATACATAATTATTCTTTCGACGCAAGAAAGAAAATATGAAACAAAAACGTTCAACGAAAACTTTGCCAAGAAAAAACTTGCCGTTTGCCCGTTCCCGGAAACGTGAAGCTTAAACTCCCTAATAACATAATTATCCGCAACGACAAAGCGAGAAGCCATTGTTTTTATTGCTATTTTAGTAAACAAGAAACTTCCCGCGCTTGCGTCTCAGCCAATCAGGTACAAGTAATTTTGCTCTGAATTAAGAAAAAATCAGCATGAGCTCCATGCACCTTTGAATTTACTATATGAGTAAATTCTTAAACACGTTCTGATAAATTCGCGGCACATTTTGAATTTATCATAATAATAAATTCACGGCACCTATAACACTAACCCCAACCCTAACCACTAACCTCTAAATTTTTAAACTTTTTAAATTTTTTTAACTTTTTAACTTTTTTTGCTTTTTAAAACTCTTTTAAAACTTTTTTAAAAACTATTTTTTGAAAATCTTGAAGATCTCCCCACCCACCTGCGACCAGCCTCCCTAGCTTTTAGTGCCATTACATTTATAGCAAGAGGTCTTGTCTAATGCTTGTGGTTTTATGATTAACTCTATTGATAAATTCAAAATGTGCCGCGAATTTATCATAATGATAAATTCGGACGTGTTTAAGAATTTACTCATAATTCAAAGGTGGAGCTCATGTTGGAAAAAATGCCCTCATCATTAGCCAATCATATT